ATTGAGGTGTATGCGGGTAAGATGTTTGGTGGAGAATACCGTTATTGGACATAAAAGTTTGAAATTGTTGGGATAAGTATTCACGAGTATTATCACTTCTTAAGGCACAAATAGACACACCAAACTGAGTTTTTATTTCATTATAAAATTTTTCAAAAATAGAAAATAATTCTGATATATTTTTCATTAAAAATAATCATGTGCAACGTGAAAAATCATCAATAAAGGTGACAAAATACCTAGACTCAAGAGTAGATACAATACGTGAGGGATCTCAAACATTGGAGTGAACTAAGCAAAAGGAGATAAAGCTCGTTTATTGACTCGATTGGAAAATTGACTACGAATGTGTTTCCCTAACTGACACGACTCACAATGTAAATTAGATACCTTCGATAAACTTGGCACCAACTTCTGTAGTTTTGAAAGACTAAAATGGTATAATTGAGCATGGATAGTGAGTGGAGAATCTTTGGCTGAGCATGTATGAGATGATATTGAGAGGTAATAAAGGCCTTGAGACTCACATCTGATGCCAATCGTCTGTCTCGAACTCCGATCCTGCAAGGTGACATTACTATTAGTGAAGGTGACAATACAATCAAGAGAACGAGTTAAACGACTGACTAAAAGTAAATTAAATGGACAATTAGGTACATAGAGAACATAATTAACAAAGACAGAAAATATAATTTGAACACTACCAATTCCTTTGGGTTGAGTTTGAGAACCATTGACAGAAGTTATAGTAGGTAAGAAACCAGAAGTGGAGAGAGAAGAAAAAATATTTTTATTATCGGTAACATGATCAGATCCACCAGAATCAAGGACCCAAGGTCCAAGAGAAGATGATTGAGAGAGGAAAGCAGATGAATTACCTGTGCGGACAACTGAAGCAGTAGAATTTGAGTTCTGATAATACTGATACCACCTGAGAAAATCATCGTAGTTTGGCGTAAAGTTCCGAGGAGTAGCCATGATAATCTGAAGAGAGAAAATACTACACGAACCGGGTGAAGACTATGTTCAGACTGGATCACAATTTTTCGTGAGTGGAAAATAAAATCTGAGACCAGATCTAGAACAGTTGCGCGGTGGCGATTGAGGCGGTGGAAAAATCACCGGGATCGGAGGAGGTGCTTATGCCAGTATGATTAGTCTGCCATAAGGTCACCGAAAAACAGTAGCAACGGTAGCGGACAACATCGACAGTGCGGTGGTGATCGGAAAATTTCGAAAACTGATGTCAGAATGAATCACGACAGTGTATGGAAGGAAAACCGGAGTTATCACACTGTTTGTCAAAAAATCTCACCGGAAGACAGTGGGTCAACCGGGTAAAGCACGACGAAAGGTTGTCTCTTAGTAAATTCTGAATACCATGTTGAAATACAAGAGAGTACGAGACATTTAAATAAACCATGTGTAAATAGCACAACAGAAGATACATTATATAAAAGAAAATACAAATTCTAATATTAATTACATAGTTATTCTATCTTATTCTACACTAAAGAATATTTTAAAAAATATTCTAAAGAATATTCTCTTTATATACATAATATATAATTATCAACACTAACAACAACATGATAATTGATTTTAAAAAAATTATTGCAAATATGTTGTAAACAATCTCATGAAAAGCACAAAAGCTTAAAAAAGCAACAATAGTGGCAAATATGATGAAAACAACTTAAAACAACAATATAAAGAAACTTCAAAATAAAACTAGAATAAATAAGAATTATTTAAAATGTGAATGAGATATAGTTTTTCAACTATTATTCTTAATTTTTTTCTTCATTTCCTATTCTGTTACCGTCTGCAAACTAACATGCGTTCAAAATTATAGTGAATCAATATATTTTTAATAAACGGAAATAATTTTACTATTAATCTAATTTTATTACGTGTAAAATGAAAATTAATATTTATAAATCCTATATTATTAGTTCATATTTATAAAACTAAATCACAGTGAGACAATAAAATTTTAGTAAACGAAATTAATTTTACAACTAATCCAACTTTATTACGAATAAAATAGAAATTGATATTTATAAATACTATGTTATTTGTTTATATTTATAAAATTAAATAATTGTATAAATATTTTTATAAATAATATCAACAAAATTAGTAGTTACATTTTTATATTTATTTTTCTTATTTACATTTTTAATATATTTTAAATATTATTCTTTATTTTAAATAACAATTTTTATCTGTTAAAAAATAATGCATAATTACTCTTTAATTTTAAACAACAATTTTTAACTACAATTTTTAACTGTTAAAAAATAATGCGTGTTCGCACTGGTTTGCTAGTTCATATTAAATTTAAAAAAATTTATATAAATTGAAATTGAGTTCTTGACAAATGGCAACCACCAAAACTCTCTCAAAGTGGTCATGTCGCAGCAACTGTGGTTCCATATAAGTAATCACATTTCATAAACTAGAAAAGGAGATTTTAGATAGAAATCATAATGTAAGCACATTTTAATTTGGACCAAGCCAGTAGCTAATGTATGTTTTCAATTTTTCACCTAAAATTCTATTACATGCAACAATAATTTATTTTTAGTATCAGATATAAATGGCATCTCCTTTCAAACAAGCTATTTACTTTAGGAGTTTATCTAGAATCATACTAACCTAAAATTAAACATGTACAATTTACTACTCACTAGTATTCTATGCTCAATCTATCTTTGTATTTTCAAAACAACATTTTGAGCACATTCTAACTGTATTTCACCCATGTAAGTGTCACACTGGCATTCTATCGGGCCTCTAACAACGAGATCGATGCTTCGTTTATTGAGCACCCCTTTGAAGAAGATCCTGTGCTATTTGTATTATGTCTTCCTGCATAGAACCCGGGTTTACTTGGTTTGGGGAGCAACTTTCCACCCTTCAACATAAAAACCACAGATGACATGTTAGGCCTATTTTCTGGTTTCTCTTGTACACACAATAGAGCCACATGAATACATTTTATTATTTCTGAACATATGGCTGCATCATATAATATTTCATCCATCAACTCCAGTGGCCTATCTTCAATCCATAGTCTCCATGCCTAAAATCCATCAAAGTTACAGCAAGGGTAAGCAGCTATAATTCACAGGATAGAGAAACATACAATACACACTTCAAACTTACATGCCCAAGAAGGTTTAGATCATGTAGAGGGTCACAAAATCCACGATTCTTCTTATTGCTAATTATCTCAAGTACTACAACTCCAAAGCTAAAAACATCCGATTTTATTGAGAAAGACCATGCACTGCATATTCTGGAGGCATATATCCACTACAAGAAAAAGCATTGAAGTTAAGGGGAAAAAAATCATTAAATGGGGTTGTAACATAACAGAGCTCAAGTTTTAAATAGCTTGTCAGTATTTGCATCATACAATACTAGTAACATAACTTTCCAGTATTTTGTTCCTTAATTTTTTTTTCTATCAAAATAGTCTGCATATTCCAATTTGAAAAATATTACCGGACTAAAACAAAAAAAATATGAGGACAATAAACAATCTATCCTATATTAGCATTTCAAACCGACAAAAATGTTTCATAGAAACTAAAACCAAAATCGATGTAAATTAAAGAGACTAAAGAGTTATTTAAGCCATAAACAGAAGTAAGTTATTCGAACTTACTATGTTCCCATCACTCTATTTGTATTAGCCTCGGCTTGATCTCCCATAAATGATCTGGCTAAACCAAAATCTGATATCTTTGGGATCATATCAATATCAAGAAGAATATTGCTGGTTTTGAGGTCTCTATGTATGATTCTAAGCGTAGAATCCTGATGAAGATACAGCAGCCCCCGAGCAATCCCATCAATAATTTCCAAGCGCTTTGTCCAACCTAGTAATTTACTTCGCGTAGAATCTAACAAATGACACATTCTTAAGTTAGGATGAGAACTACATTATAGCAAGAGAATAACCGAGAGCAATAAATATGGTTGGTGTGAAAGTTCAAACCAAAAATAAAGTAATCCAAGCTTCTGTTGGGCATGAACTCGTAGATCAACAACTTTTCATCATGTTGAATAGAGCAACCAAGAAGTTTTACAAGATTTCGGTGTTGAAGTGTTGCCATCAATTTTACTTCATTTTTGAATTCCTCATTTCCTTGTCCTGATGTTTCAGATAGCCTCTTAACAGCAATCTCTTGGCCATCTACCAATATGCCCTAGTAAATTTTTTTGGAAATTTTAGTACTTATAGTAATTGGTGAAATAAGGGGATAAATTAACTTGGTAACCAAGACTTTACCTTGTACACTGGTCCAAAACCACCTTCTCCTAACTTGTTTCTGTTAGAGAAGTGATCTGTTGCTTTAGTGATGGTTGAAAAATCAAATAGTGTTGCCAAGTCACCATCCTCCTTCCTCTTCTTGTGAAATAACTTTTTTATTTTTCCTGAAGTAACAATTCAAGAGGTTTAACGTTAACAAATCAATCAAACTTCAGAATACATTTTAAGTTGTAACTATTTCTTTTTGCAACACTACTTGAGTACTATTTAAGCACATCATAAATATTTAAGATTTACTTATCAAAATTTATCACCTAGCTTACCAAGTTTCTTTTTAGATGCTGATATAACCAAAATAGTAACGATAAGTCCTATGATGAATGCAATAACTCCGACAAGAGTTCCAACACGCTTCAAGCTCCTCTTATTCTTTATATGATCTGGAATTGAAGTAAATGTCAGTGAAAAACCAGGCATATAAGCTTACTAAATAAAATGAAAAGGGCATCTATAGAGAACAACACAACTTCCATTTGGAGGTTCATTCATAATGAGGTGTTCTAGAAAGAGTTCGGGTATATACTTAAAAGTGAAAATATCATTATTTTCACATAATTTGATGTTTTAAACAAGGCTTAATCATATCCAAGCGCCAAAATATTTATGCTATATATCAAACTGATAAGGAAAAAGTTGTAAGAGGAAACGAAAATACCAAATTCTGAAGATGCGAGTCGTATGTAAATGTCTTGTCCTTGGTCTGGATGTATTCTCATGTCCACAATGTTGTCAAACCAAAGTATGCAGCCACTACCACCATATCTGATATCCAAATTTGCATATGCAGTGCAAGAACAGTTTTTCAAACACACAGTCTTGCATTCCTCAAGGCTCAAGCTCGTGTCAAACCAGGACGATGACGTATCAGGTAACTTTATGTTTATGTACTTCAAAAATCCATCTCCATGGAGACAGTTTAAATGTGTTTTCCTTACACACCCATCAGACCAATTTGATGACTCCCACTTTAGTTGAAATTTTGGCATGAAACCTTCCAAGCATTCACAAATTGGAAAGTCATTAATATTGCAGTTAGAGTTGATACCACATAAGGCATAATTATCACACTGGTCTGTAGGACGAGAAGATATAGCCTCCCAAATTTGGGTCCTATCTGACCATGTAAGACGTTGTGTATTTCCATAAGAATCTAGCACCAATCTAGTAAAAGTTGAACTGTTGCTAGTTTCATATTGATAAGAGAATTCTTTGTCGGTGAAAACTACTGAGAAATTAAAGAGACTTTGCAATCTATGCCAATGCCAGGAAACGCCTGTGAAGAGAAATCCATCCCATGACCCTATTCTATACAGAAACCTTCCCCCCTTGACAGTAACCAGTTGAGGAAAACCATGTGAATCTATCCTATATGAACACTCACCTTCAGCAGGATCTTCAGGACTTCTCCAAGATGTGAGATATCTATACGGACCAGTAATTAAATTACTTTTCAGCTTCATTCCAGCAAGGAAAGTGTTTCCAGGATAATCAAAACTCTCCCACAAGAAATCCTTATTCTCACCGCTGCTGTTTGCGTCTTTCACAACAAGGTTTCCTGAATCCAACAATTGTACAACAACTGGTTTCGCCACGATTCTCGATGAATTGGAGGACCACACAAGGCCTTTCGAGTCATCAAGAATAACAAGATTTCCTTGATCATTGAGTTTCAGCAATCCAGTTGAGTTTTGTACAGGGGTGTCTCTATTGGCAACCCACACAATAGTCCTAGGTGATAAGTTTTTGTACCATATACCAAAGTATTGGCGTTGCGGATCTCCAAAATTGGAAAATCCTGCTTCAAAGGTTCCGCCTGCAGAAACAATGGTTTCACGATATCGGATAAACTGATTAGGAACAAGAGTGTCCTGTTCAGAGAAACTAGGCATAATAGAGCAAAAGAAGATTAGCATTAACACCTTATGATTGTTCTCCATTGTGTTTGTGTGAGTTTGTACCCATCATTTTCAGTTTATAAAATTCCAAACTCAATTGAACAGCTTAGTCCAAGTCTTCCCATGTGCTAGCTAGTTGAAGCAAATTTCAAACAAAATCAACAAGTTCGTGGTGTATAACCTAGTTAAATCAACTTAAAGCTTGGTATGTTGACTTTGTTGGTATGTTCCCTTAACCCATTCATACCATAGTTTTAAATTGAGTTCGCATAACCGCATCACACCACAAATACAGTGAACTAAAACCATGCGACCGGCCGTCATTATAAATCAAATTTCACCCATGTTTATGAGTATTTTCATCAAAATTCAAAATTTCACGATCCAAAAACCCAATTTACTTACTATATAATGAAAAATGTTAACTTCAAATTTTTAACGCTATATTTCAAACACCTCACAATGCACATCGCAGCAACCGCAATCGCGACACTGGCATCCTCAACCGCAACTTAAAACTATGATTCATCAAAGTGATGATTGAAATAGTATGCGGTGTACAAACAATAAACTTAACCTACAATCCTTCATCTTCATTTTTTTCCAAACCCTAGCGTTAGTTCCTAAATTCGGCACTCACATATATTGATCTTATTGGTTAAAAATAGATTGAAGAAATCTAAGCCTGTGAAAGGAGTTGTGTCGAAGTCATCCTTGCTAAGAAGGAAAAACACTTAGAGAATTTTCTAAGTTAAAAACAGTTTCGACCGAAAATCTCTTGTATCAGCAACAAGTGGATTTGAATCTGAAAAAAGGAGGGAAAGACAATTCATTTCGCAGTTGGGAAAAGCGACGTGGCGTGAAGATAGGGGTCGAAGAGCATGCAGAGGACACTTGTCCTCATCCTTTAACGAAGCAACTGTTCGACAATTACTTATTATCAGTATAAATATAGGAATTTTGTGTAGAATTTTGTGTGTTCAACTCATTGTACAAGTCACTCAATTTTATTCAACTATCCGCTGTGAGAAAAAGAATATTGAGAATGTACGTTTGAATCACCATACTTTATTCCAATCAAAGTCTTTACGTTTCTTTACAATCCTTGCCATTTAACATTTTTCTGCAAACTTTACCATTAATGCCTTTTAAATTACTGCGAATTTACTTTATCTTGTACTTTACTTGCGTTTTTACCAAGTTTTTACCTTCATCCTATGCATTTAAACCTATCCAAGCCTTTACTCTTAGTGTCCAGTCGAGCTTGTTCATTAACAACGCTAAGACTTCTTATCAAACTCAAAAAATACTTAGCATATGTCCTAGGATCAAACTGATCAATAATGCAAGTAACCAAAATCACTTTTTTGGAAGATCAGCGGTTGTTTATCAATTTTCACGGTAAACAAATTGGCACGCCCAGTGAAACGTTGCTAAGTTTTTGTTTTCTTTTACAAACTTTGATAAAAACAGTTTTTATCATAAGTGCTTTACGTAATTTCCTTTCTCTCAAAAGTGTTGTATGTTATTGAGAAGTTGTAAATCAACCACCAAAGAGTACATACCTAGGAGAAGAAATAGGAGAATGGCTAATCCTAATCAACCAAGTAGTGGAGAAATGCCTCCACCAATTCCCGCAGAAATAGCGGTTACACCAACAATTAGTGAATCTGTACCATCAACGGTTGGTTCGACACCAACATTGACAGTTACACAAACAGGACCAATAATTCCTCATGTAGGTCCTAGGGGTCCACCAGGAACACCCCCACCAAGGGAAAATCCGGGAGTTCGACCTTATGTCCTTCCAGGATTTTCGACAGCCTGGATGGATAGAGACCAACCCTATGGCATGCCAACTGCTGAAATGGCAAGCCTTATGAATACCTCATCCACATTTTTAGAACCTTTGGTGAGTGCATCTTCTCTATTACAGGGATCTGGAACTTGTATGGCAAATCTGGGTAGAAACCAACTCTTAGGAGGGACATCCCATATAATGTCAAGCCTCACAAATGCTTCTGCAGCAATTTTGAGGCAACAAATGGATGAGAGTAACCATGACATGATGCAGATGTTGGCACAAACCTTGAGTACAGTAGTTAAACCTTTGATACAAAATACCACCCAGTCGAATCAGCAAATGGCACCGCAAATGACACGCATGGCCGAATTTTTTGGGGTTCCTCAACCTATTCGACACCCCTAAAGAGAGCTGATAACAGAAAATCAGGGTGTGGTCTTAGAGGATGATATGACCATTAACAAGAATCCACAGCCAAATGGGATGAACCATAGAGTGAAGGTCGAACAACCTAGAGTCGAAGTACCCAGAGTTGGCCCACAAATCCCAAGAGTTGTCGAGCAAGGTGTAGTTGTGGTAAATAGAAACTAAAATGTTGATGAGGTAATACATCATATTCGACACAACAACCATGCAGCAGATAATAACTTGACAGCCATGGTCGAAAGAATCATGGCACAAAATGGAGTGAACATTGGCTTTCATAGGTCAAACTTTACATCTCTATTATCAGATTATATCTTGCAATCAGATTTACCCTCTAGATGGAAAGTTCCAAAATTCACCAAGTTTTCAGGGGGATACGACAGAGTCCACTGTCGAACATGTGGCAAGGTATTTGATAGAGGCTGGGGAAATCTCAAATAATGAGAATCTTAGGATTAAGTATTTCCTAAGCTCCTTAACCAAAAATTCCTTCACTTGATTTACCACACTCCCAGCCAATTCGATTTACAATTGGAATCAGTAGGAAATATTTTTCCATGAACAATTCTATATGAGACAGACCAAGATAAGTCTGAAAGAACTGACTAGTGTAAAGAGAAGATTCACTGAGCCAATTGATGAGTATCTGAACAGATTTCAACTGCTCAAATCTAGATGCCTTACACAATTCCCTGAACATGAGTTGGTCTAAATGGATGCAGGGGTTCTAAATTATTCCATTAGGAAGAAATTAGATACCCAATACCTGAGAGATATGGCCCAATTGGCCGATAGAGTTCGACAGGTAGAACGTAAGGCTGAAAAAGCTAAGGCGAATAAAAATCATCAAAGAGAAAGGGTAGCATATGTTGAAGTGGATGATGACGATCCAGAAACATCTAGTGGCCTTATAACTGTCGAAGAGAGCGAGATCGATCTAGCAGAATTAAAGCAAGAGCCATCATACTCTTGCAAATTGTTAACACCCTCAAATGGGAAGAATCCTACTGAATCCGAAAAGAGTAGTGATAGGTTCCCAAAGAAAACATATAGTTTCGACGTCACAAAACGTGACAAAATATTTGACTTGTTAGTTAAATATTACCAAATGATAGTGCCCCCAGGGACAAAAATGTCTCATTTAGATTAAAGGAAAAAGAGAGGTTTTTGTAAATATCATAATTTTTTGGGCCATAAAACCTCACAATGTTTTCTTTTCAGGCATCTTGTTCAAGGCGCAATAAAATACGGAAAACTCAAGTTTGTTGACAAACGTCCCACGAAAATTGATGGAAACCCGTTGCAGGCAGATGCCCATTATGCTGAACCTTCATGCATCAATATGGTCGAAGTCTCAGAAGACTTCATCAATGAACCTGTTTTTGGCAGTTTTGCTGAGGACATTAGCAGAAAAGCTGTCGAAGAGGTACAAAGAAAGGTTACTGAAAGCCTAAACAAGGGAGTCACTGAAGGCTCAAACAAAGGAACTACTAAAGGTTCCTACTTGGCCGCTGTCACAGGTTCAACAGAAAGCCTAGAGGCCAAGATGCAAAAGCTAAGTGTAGCTGGTAAGAGCAACATGTGAATAAATATGGTTGAAGTGTCTGAACCTAAAGCTGCAGACTCAGAAGACAGCATCAGACAAGAGGAAATCAAAAAACTTGCGTTTCCTAAAGAAAACGAAAATCTGGCAGATTTTCTACACAGATACCAGAAAAAGAAGTCAGAAGTTATGTTGTGTCCAAGATGCAGTTCTATCTTCGACAAAAAAGTTGTTGAACACATACAAGGTGTGCGTGTAGAAAATAAAAAATGGGATAACATTTCTCAGCCTAACATGGATCCTGAAGTAAGGTACGACCCTAGAAGGGGATACCAAAAGGGGCCAGTAAACCAGGTGAGTAGGCCATCAACCTTCAAGCCTCCAACAAATGTTCCTGTGGACACTTGGTTGAAGGCAGCAAATAGAAAAAGGTCCAACGAGGGAAAATGGAAGATGTTCAATATGCCAAGAGGATCCTCTTTGGCCTATAGAAGGGAATTTCAGTCAACAACAACAAACAAGGTTGCTCATGTGTCTAACAATTACAAAGGAAAGAACCCTATGACCTGCTCCCAATGGAGAAGGTGTCAGAGATGGAGAAAGGCCGAAAGAGAGGTTGCAGAAAATTCCCAACCAGAAACAAGCACTAATGTGTTGGAAAGAAAAGAAAAGGCTAAACCAAGAATGCCTTTGGAGAAAAAGCCAATTGCTAGAAGGATGGTATGGCATGGACAAGATGAATCGGAGGAAGAGTCTGATTCTGGGTCTGATGCTACATTAGACATCATGGTAAATGTGGTGTCTGTGCTGCCCAGAGAATACGACCAACAGGTGAAGTCGAAGAGACTGAGTGGGAGGTCGGACAAGAAATGGCCAAGCATAGGCCAGTATACTACTGTGTTATGAACAATGGATGCGTAGAAGAGAAAAATGCCTTCTTCGAGCGTCTCACTGAGGCAATGAGGAATCACCTCAAACCCTTGTTCATAAGGGCAAAAATAGGGGAGGCGACCATTAACAAAGTCTTGGTTAATTGTGGGGCCACAATTAACATAATCCCTCACTGTATGCTGAGAAAGCTGGGTAAGGGGGGTGGAGACATCAAGCCCCATAACATGGTTTTATCAAACTATGAAGGTGGAATTGGGACCACCATGAGAGTAATTCAATTGGACCTCAAAGTGGGGACCATAGTTC